ACTTCAACTCCCAGAGTTCCTCAGCCAGCAAGCTGGCTGAGGAACTCTGGGAGTTGAAGTCCACAAGTCTTAAAGTGGCCAAGGTTGGAGACCCCTGCATAGTATCAATCTTGCGAACTCTCAAGATGTTTTGTTTTGCTATGTATTCAAAATGGACTGTATGTATATAAGTAACTCTGTGTATTTTGTGTCTGTGTGTGTGTTTGTGTGTGTGTGTATTCTTTTCAGAGCAGGCATCAAAATTTCATTTTTAATGTGTGCCAGTGTATACATAGAAAAAGTGAAAATAAGGGTTATCTTATTATCTTATATTGTCCTGCCTTGCCCTGCCCTGTCCTATCTTATCTTAAATTTAAGCATGCCTCTCTGGGTTTCTTCTTTAGCCGTATTGTTCGCATCCTCAGTGGGACAGGAATCCTTTGACCTAACGTAGAAGGATGACCAACAGATCGAAACTGGGAGATCTTCTCACCTGTAGCCCTTGTCTGGAGAAACAAATTACAATGGAAATTCTGCACTCCATTATGCCTGTAAGTTAAGAACTAGCTGTACATATTTTTAAAGAAATGTGTTTGGACTACATTTGGACTAAGTGCAATGTAATTGTTCTGCAAATTATTGAAATGTCAATAATTTATAGAACAAGTAAAAACATAAATATTCCGTAATATAATGCATGCCATGTAATATTAAGTCATGAACAACAATAAGCTTATCTTTAGATCTAAGCTGACTAACCATAATAGATGCTTTCCATTTGTCATGAATTTCTCGGGCCAAATTCAGATCAATATGAACCACATAGTCATCAGGAGTTAGTGATCCTTATGGAAGGAGGGGAAAAAGAGATAAAATTCACATACACATTGAAAGAGAGTTTCATTCTATTTAGTTAATGCTTTTTTTGTAAGACACAACTAAGTTTTAATTGCTTTTTTTAAATGTGCCATCTAAATAATGTGAAAGCATGGAAATGTTACAAAACTGGGGATTCCCAACCATGGCAACTTTAAGATCTGTGGACTTCAACTCCCAGAATTCCCCAGCCAGTCAGCCAAGACCAAAATCATATTTACTTGTTTTTTCAAATTTCTCTCTGCTGCAATCTCTTGGCAGCTTGTGTGGAAATGTTGATTAAGGTGATAAAAGATGAAGTCACAAATATCTGGGTAGCATTAGTTCACCTACACACTCTAGATTCTGGGCCCGTAATTGGAACAGATTTTGCTGTTATAAGATAAAATAACATTAAAGCTTTTACTACAACAGAGTAATTAGTTGTAGTAACTTGATTTTTACTACAGTCTTCCCATAAATTAGCAGCTAGCTAGCCATTGAACAAAAATGTCAAACCCATGTAGCAGGCCAAAAATAAACCATGAATTATGAACAATGACCTAAAGTGGCTTAATTCAAAAGAAAGTCTTGGAATACTTATATATTATTGCCTAATCTATACCAACCTCTATTATTTAACCTCTTCAGTTCTTTTAAATCTTAAGATCTGTTAGGTATATACAATCATCAGTTCCAAGTTCAGAATCAATTTACTATTTTATGGAAGTAAAATAGTCATTGATGTTATTACCTGTATCAACTCCAACCGGTCCAAATATTTCACTTAACTGCATGGCTAATTCAGGAGCTAAGACCAGTTCGAGACAATCTATGGTCACGGACTTTGAGGGAGGGATGGAATTCTGCAACCTGATTGTCCCATCATCTTGATCAGAGATGTTCTTTTCTCTTTGTGTCGGAACCACAATGCCGGACTTACAATCCATTTTTGTGCCCTGCTCAGATTTGTGGCTTTCTGCACTGCTCAAATTGGTTGCTTCCATTCGCTTCAAATCTGACGTCGCTTCTGGAAACGGGCCCTCCTGTAAGCTTGCTTGAAACTGATCTTCTTCCGCATCGCAGGTGGCTTTCAAAGGGCCATCACCTTTGTCAGGAAGAGCGATATCCATTTCATTAACCGAGGATGTCCTCCATGGATCATTCTCTAATAGCCTCCTAGAAATTCTTGGTTTTATTTGCGTGTTCAAAGGATCTACCTCCGGATCTGATGGGCTTATGTCTTCTCCTGCATCCGGTAACGGATGAGTTTCGTTTTCTCCTGAAGAAGAATGTACGCCGTGTCCTGCAGGATGGTCAGAAATGTCTCCACTGTCGTCACCAAGGGGGACTCTCGTTATTTCGCATTTGTGACTAATCCTTGAAATTGCAGTCGCTTGAGTACCTGCCACAGAACCGGCAAACCTGTCTTCAGTCGCAGCGGGTCTCTTCGAAGGAAGAGACACATCCGGGAGCCGAACCTCTGCTTCCTGCAGGCCTCCAACATCGTCTTCTTTGCAGAGCTTCTCAGCAGAGTCTAACAGGAGCCCCGTGGCCCAATCCATATCCCGGTTGCATCGTTCGTACAGATCTTTAATGGCATCGAATGAAAGAGACCCAAAGAGCTTACACAAAATATCGAGATGCTCAGATTCATCGACTCTCACCAGCTCCCTTTCTTCTACATAGGTGCTTCTCTCGTAGGTTACTTTGTAGGGTATTTTTTCTGGACAACCTGGAATAGCTTCAACCCTTTTGGGTACGAATCCATCGAGTCTGCCATGCAGTACTTTTGTACCTTCTGAAAAGACAATCTCTCTCTCCAGTCTCCACAGAAGGGCAAAATCTCGTGGTTCTGTCTGTGAAGATTTGGTAGCCTGGGACTCCACAACTTCGTTGGGTTTTTCTTCTGTCCAACTGCACAGGGACAGTGGTTCTACTGGTTTGTTGAGGGCCGAACTGTTGGTAAATGTTAATGCTAATTTATGATGCTTACGTGTTCTTTTATTCAGCACTGGCTTTTTCTCACTCAGAGGTTCAGCAGCTGTGATTTCAGACCCTTGAAAGGGTTCCCCCTTTGAAGAGGCCCACAGCTCTTCAGCATCTGCAGAGGTCTCATTCAGCTGAGACGTTGCAGTCCCATCACTAACGCTGACACCATCTTGACTGTTTTCTAATCCACCTGTCTCATTAATGTCTCGCTTGGTTATCCTTTTCATTTTGTGTTGTCTTTGCTGTAAAGTTTGGACTGGCCAGTCTACCGTCAGCAATTCTGTCGTATGGACTTCTGTATTATTAACCTCAGGCACCAACATGGAAGGAAAATTACAGTCACTTTCGTCCCATTTATCTTCACACCTGTCATCAGAAAGTGGCAGTTCCTGATGACAGTCTATCAAATCCAATGTTTTATCTTCACTTGTATTTTTTAATGAATCAAGAGTAGCTGTTGGCATACTTGAATCTCCTTTGTCCCTCCTGGCACGTTTTTCTAATCTTTTAATTCTTTTCACCCTTTGAGCCAAAGTTTGTTCTACTGGCCAGTCTCCCACAAAGTTTAACTTTTCAGGTTTTACTGAGCTGCCAGAATTAAAATCTCCATCTTTATTTTGTGTTTCTGTGAATTCTGGTTCTGTTATTTTATGACATGCAGTTGCTTCAATCTGAAGTTTCAACTCATGGTTATTGTGCAACAGAGTATTTTCACTGGAATCCCAGACTGGTCTTAACTCTGTTTCAAGAATGGATTCCATTTTGATTCTTGCTGGTAATGCAGTAGCGTCCAAGCAATCTATACTACATTCAGAACTGGATTCTTTAAAATCATGTCCAGCTCTTTGGTTTTCATTTTGAAGGTTCTGATCTTCTGCTATAACTTCTTCTAAAGTAGCTTTTTCATCTGGATTTAATTCTATTCCTTTCAAAGAGGAGGCAAAATGTTCTTTCTGTTCTTCTTTCCTACAAGACAAATATATATATATATATATATTACGCATACATCGCTGAAATTTACTTCTGCTAAAACATTTTAGGGCATTACCTAAAATGGCATAAGCAGACAGAAGGAAGATACAGTGTGTTAAAGGACTGGCTGCTCAAAACTCAAAACTATTTTTCTTGGACAAAAGAGGATTTTTGTTGAAATGAAGACTGGCTGCTTAAGGAATCGCATATGTGTGTGTGTGTGTGTGTACACACACACACACACACATTCTTAAGTTTTCGTGGGTACTTACATGTATGGTATTCAGCTTTGTTCGGGTATTTTCCCACGTCATTATAGTTGTGCTTTTAACGTTGTAGAACGTTTTGGCAGAATCTCATCTGCAATCATCAGGCTTCTGTATTGTGTTCGTCTGTGAGACAGACTTTCACAGCCGTTTCTGTTTTAAATTTGGGGCTAGCCTACTGCTGTGCCAGAATGGTTTTTTCTTCATCCTGATTGGTTGGGAGTCTTGGTCTGTGTTTATTGGTCTTGGAGTTTGCTGTGTTCTGCTTAATTGGTGTTTCTAATATTTTCTGTCTGTTTTGTAGCTTTTTTTGTCTTGATTGGCTGGCAACATTGTGTTTCCAGTATTGGAGGCTTTTAGTGCGGCTTGGCTCCGGGTAAATGGACGGCTATCATTTATTAGGAAGCTAGGTTTCATCTGGGTGCCTGGTTGGGGTGTGTTTGGGCTGGAGGTATCAGGGGGGATCTGTTTGTGCCCAGGTGTTTGGCTGGCTTGTGGTGTGGAGATTTTTTTGTTTGAGAGTGCAGGCTTTAAAAGTACAACTATAATGACGTAGGAAAATACCCGAACAAAGCTGAATATCATATATATAAATACTCGCGAAAACTTAAGAAAACACACACACACACACACACACACACACACGCACGCACCCTTAACATTTCATTAAGACTCTAAAACCAAATGGAAGAGTCTGCATTTGCTTTGAGCTGGTGGACAACCCCTCCCCCCAAAGTATCAATATAATGATATGATTATTTCAGCAGAAATAGTCATATCTTTGTATTATCCACTGAAATAAATAGGGAGGTCTACACAGATGAAGAAATTCACATTAGCATTAAGTATACTATTTTAATTATTTTTCCTTATTAAAATCTGTCACCGGGTACACAGATGGTCTACAACAAGGGTGTCAAAGTCAAGGCCAGATCCGGCCCCTGGGTGCTGTGGGGCTGCCCTGGAAACAGAGAAGGACTGGCCCGTAGTGCCTCTTTTAACAAAAACAGAGCTTGGAAGTCCTCTCGAGCTCCGTTTTCGATGGCAGAGGGTTGCAGGAGGCCACCCCAACCGAAAATGGAGCTAGCCGTGCCCACAGTGGCTGCGCCCTCCCCCAGCCCTCCCAAGTTCAAACACAACCCTGATGCAACCCTCAGTGAAGTCGAGTTTGACACCCCTAGTCTACAACTTTTACAATTATCTTCACAGAATACTATACATTTCCTACTATGCTAGTATAGCAAACCCGTTTGAGCTCAAGTTTTGCTGCTGGAAAAGCACAACAGCAAATCTCCAGGACACACAAAATGTCAAGGCAAATTATATCATTTCTACTTTAAGGGTTTTATTGAAACTGTGAATGCCCCGCCTAGGGGACTCTCCCAGATGTCCTCCCACAGTCTGGTGTTCTAGCATGAGGGCTAGATGCTGCCCTAGACAACTTGTGATGACCCGGGGCGTGGCACAAAGGCAACACTAGCCAGAGAACCAGTATGAGTCCCTTTATTGGCACCAACTTTGGCCCCAACGTCCCGTTTACTCTCCGGCCTGGAGAAAAGCTCTCCCACAAACCTGTAGCAGCCTCTGGCTGCAGACACTCCAGTCCAAACGCTGTTAGCAGAATGACTGCAGTAAATCACTCTAGCAGGGCAAGATAATGAGTCCAAGAAGCGCGGCAATAATTCCAGCAAGACAAGATAAGCACACAAAAGCACAGCAATAATTCAAACAGTCAGGAAGAAAGCCAGAAATGCAGGCCACAACTTTCAACACTCAATGAATTCAGTGTTTGTTCCCGACAAACGCCCCTCCCAACTGCCTCTCCTTTAAACTCCCTCCCCAGGTGTGCCTTGTTAAGGGAATCAGGGCCCTTTCCTCCCCCGTAAGCCACGCAACCCATGTTGCTCTCTTCTCTGTTCTTCCCTGCGTGCCCTAGGATGAGGAGGGGGTAGGCCTTGGTCTTCCTCTGAACCCCCTCTCCTTTGTTCTACCCCTCCCCTGCTCTGTCCAGCCTGACTTTGCCCCTCCCCAGTTTCCTCCCCAGCCAACGGAGCCACTCTCCTGCTCTCAGTCAGCTGTTCGTCTTCCATCTCAGATTCAAACTCTAACAGGGGCGTGACACAACTGTACCAAATACTATTCTCTTATATCACTCTTGATGTGACCCAGTTGGATCATGAAATGTCTTCAAGAAAACTATCAAGGTCCACGAGGACCCCACAATAAACTTCGTACTTTAAACAGCAAGGTTAAAACGTTGGTAGAAAGTTTACCCCTGCCTTTTCTCGCGATGAAGAATTTCACCACAGGTTTCACGCTTCCTCATGTCATCTGAGATTGAAGAATTCAAAATTGAATTAGCAGTCAGGCAATGTTCATATCGTTCCAACATTCTTTTGATCTTTTCTTTGGATACACCATGAACATTTCGCCTAAATATTGAAAAGAACAAAATACTTGATATGTTACCACCACAACATAGGCATGCTGCATGCAACTTTAACATATTTGAGAGAATGTTTTTAAAAAGTAACTACAAATTAAAACTTTTAAAAATTTATTGTTTCACGCCGATCTGCAGCTCATGAACATTACCTAATTCTTCTCCTACTCTGGTCTAAACAAGGGACTTTTCCTTAAAGACTTAAATAGATGATTTCTAAAGCCCTTCCAAAATTGCTGGGAATTGTAATTCTTTTTTTTAAAATATACCATAAGTAGCCTATTTACTGACTTATTTTAAAGTTTTTTTTTAAAAAAAGGACTGAACTTTAAATCATCACGTTTTATATCAGCGAGGAAACAATTAATCCACATAAAGACTAGTTGTCCTTAAATTTTGTTACTGTCAATACACACACACACACACACACACACACACACACACACATATATTCGTAGATTTTCACGGGTACAGGTATGTAAGTCTAGGTGTGTTCGGGTCTTTTCCCGTGTAAGATTAAGAGTATCTTGGCGATGTTTCAGCGAGGTCCCACTCGCCATCCTCAGGCTGGTGCTTTCGGCTTCGTGCCAGTGCAAGCAGTGTGTGATCGGAGCTGCCATCTCTCTATAAATACTGGTGGTGGGGGCTGGTGTGCTGGGCTGGTTGGCTGCGCTGCTGCCTCTTGATTGGTTGATGGAGTTGATGTTGGTATAATGGGCTGTGTGATGGCCTTGTGAGTTTTGTTGTGGAGATATCCTAGATTACAGCACAAGATCTATATTGTATTGTGTTCGTCTGCCAGAATGGCACAGCAGTAGGCTAGCCCCAAATTAAAAACTGAAACAACTGTAAAAGTCTGACTCACAGACGAACACAATACAGAAGCCTGATGTATGGCCTTCGGCTTTGTTCGGGTATTTTCCCACGTCATTGTAGTTGTTCTTTTAAAGTTGTAGCAACGTTTCAGCAGAATCTCATCTGCCATCATCAGGCTTCTGTATTGTGTCCGTCTGTGAGTCAGACTTTTACAGTGGTTTCAGATTTAAATTTGGGGCAGCCTATTGCTGTGCCAGAATGGTTTTTTTTTCATCCTGATTGGTTGGGAGTCTTGGTCTGTGTTTATTGGTCTCGGAGTTTGCTGTGTTCTGCTTGATTGGTGTCTCTAATATCTTCTGTCTGTTTTTTGGCTCTTTTTGTATC